TCCTACGAGCGCTTCCAGGCGGTACGGAATGCTGGGATCTGTGGGATTGGGATCCATGGGATGGGATCCATGGGATGGGATCCATGGGATGGGATGGGATCCATGGGATGGGATGGGATCCATGGTCATGGACCCGCCCAAGCCCGGAGAGCCGGCCTACGAGCGCTTCCAGGCGGTACAGAATGCTGGGATCTGTGGGATTGGGATCCATGGGATGGGATCCATGGGATGGGATGGGATCCATGGGATGGGATGGAATCTATGGGATGGGATGGGATCCATGGTCATGGACCCGCCCAAGCCCGGAGAGCCGGCCTATGAGCGCTTCCAGGCGGTACGGAACCAAGGGATTGGGATCCATGGGATGGGATCCATGGGGTGGGATGGGATCCATGGGATTGGGATCCATGGGATTGGTATTGTGATGGGATCCATAGGATGGGATCCATGGGATGGGATTCATGGGATGGGATGGGATCCATGGGATGGGATTCTTGGGATGGGATCCATGGGATGGGATCCATGGTCATGGACCCGCCCAAGCCCGGAGAGCCGGCCTACGAGCGCTTCCAGGCGGTACGGAACCAAGGGATTGGGATAATGGAATAACGGGATAGTGGGGCGATGGGGTAATTAATGGGTTAATGGGATAATGAGATAACAGGATAGTGGGATAACGGGATAACGGGATAATGGGATAGTGGGATAATGGGATAATGGGGCAATGGGATGAGATGGGACAATGGGACAACGGGATAACGGGATAACGGGATAACGGGATAGTGGGATACTGGGATAACGAGATAGTGGGATAGTGGGATAATGGGATAATGGGGCAATGGGATGAGATGGGATGGGATGGGATGGGATGGGATGGGATGGGATGGGATGGGATGGAATTGGACTGGGATGAGATAATGGGATAATGGGAAAACAGGACAATGGGATGATGGGATGGAATGGAATTTAATTGGGATGAGATAATGGGATAATGGGATAACGGGTTAATGGGATAATGGGATAGTGGGATAGTGGGATAATGGGACAATTGGATAATGGGATTATGGGATTATGAATTAATGCGATAGTGGGATAATGGGACAATGGGATGGGAAAATGGGATGGGATGGAGGGGAACTGGGATGGGATATTGGGATAACGGGATAGCAGGATAACAATGTGGCAATGGGATAACGGGATAACAACAGGACAATGGGATAACGGGATAAC